CAAAAGGCGACATTTTCCGAGATTGAGACACATCTGGCTGGGTTTTAGAAAGAACTAATTGTGGCCACAGCCTTACATGACCTTAACTAGATTTCTGGTAGGCTTACTTTTAGTCTGAGGTCTGCAGTGATGGCCTACAGTAAAATCTATTAATTTCAATGAATCACAAGCTTCCTTGAAAACATAAAGTGGATAACACTCTCCTGTCATATTGACAGTGGGGCTTTAACATCAATGAGATGGTTAGGCATTAGCACAATGTTTTGTGAAGCCCATCAACAACGAAGTGGATAAATGCCACTCCAAGCATTAGTGTGCTGGGACTACAGTGCCAACTTGGCATTGTTAGTACAAGTGCTTGAAGAATTTGTTATTTGCAAAGCCCGGTACAAACTGATCCACACCCGACAGGCTAGCATGCTGATCAGAACATAGTCACCATGCAGATCTTGCACCTCTAATTTTGCAATGCAGCAAATAAGGCATATTTTGGCATACAATATGACTGTGCATTTTGATTTTTCTTTTGAGTAGGCATGCCACTTGGTTGCAACAAAAATGGTTGCATCTAATGCTATGCTGAAATGACGTTCGGTGCTTAGTGCTATGAGCACAGAAGTGGTAAGCCTCAGGTCCACCGGCCAAATCCTGTCCCCTAAGGATCTTCAGGAATCCCCAGAAGACCCCACACCCCCTTTCACCCTACCAATTACTTCATAACTTCTCATCTTTTGAATTTCCCCCACCATCCTAAATGATCAGAATGCCTAAGACTTCTTAGACTCATAGCATGCTAAAATATGCTGGTATTTGGGATACTCTGATCCCAGCTCGCTTTGCCTTTAGCTGCGTGCACCACTGGGATGTGTTCCCCAAGAATGTCTCTGAAACGGAATTGGCCCTCAGACTGGTGGAGGTCCCCCCCTCGTCCGCCCCCCCACCCCCAGCATTTGGGTAACCCCTGTAATGAATTGTGCAAGCCTTGTGGAACAGCTTGGAAATCTCTTCTAGAAAAGTGAGAGCCAGCTGCCTGGCAACGTGTCCGACAGCTAGCAGAGCAGGTGTGCAACCACCTGTGCAACAGTGTGCAGGTGGAAGTACTGACTTGGACACTTGCGCAAAGATAAAAACGGGGCCTCCATCTCATGCTCACAGGGGTGGCTCCCACTGTCACTGCACCTGCAGAACAGAGCACGCCCCTGAACGGGATCTCAGCATCCTCTACTGCCCCTCACCTGCAGCTCCCCCCACGCCTTCCAAATCTCCTTTGGAGGATGTGAGGGGGACTGCAGGGGAGGCATGGGAGGTCTGCTCCATGAGCAGTAGCCATTCCATGGACACAATGGCCAAACTGGATCCAGCCCCTAGTATTCAGAGGTACTACGGGCAGTGGATTAGGAGGGATCCCATGCAAGGATGGCATTCACTAGCACGCCGTCTGCCGACTTCCACCACCTCAGGCCCAGACGTCACATGATGGCCCTGCACTCCATGCCTGCCTCTCTCATATATAAAGCAGAGACTGTGCATGAGCTCTTTATACTATACGCAGCGTGCAAGGGAGCAGAATACATGAACGCTGCTGGGAGAAAATGGTGGAACTGCAATGGAGCTCAGTGCAGGAACAAAAGAGAGAGTGAATGCAGAAGCCAGTGTGACGTAGTGGTGGCACTGTTGGAGTAGGACTTGGGGGAGCTGGGTTCAAGTCTTGGGAAGCTTGCTAGGGGACCTTGCGCCAGTCACAGACTCTCAGCCTAACCTGCCTTACAGGATAAGATAGAGGAGGCCCTTGGAAGTCACATTGGGTTCCTTGCAAGAAGGGTGGGGCATAAATGTAATGTGAAATAATAATAATAAAGGCATGATTTCATCCAAGCAGAGGTGGCTCACTTTGGCTTTAAAGGCAAACACAATGTAGTTGAAACACAGCTGTTTGTGCTGCAGACAAGCAGCAGAAAGGTATCATTTGTACCCCATTTGCGAACCTCCAGAAGCATGTGGCTGGTCTGCCACTGAGAACCCAATGCTCAGCAACCTGGGGTCAGTAAGGCAGACAATTCAGATCTCAAGCAAAAGAATTAAGTCCCATTGTTTTCAATGGTCTAACAGGACAATCCTAGGCTCCTCTACTTAGGAATTCGTTTTAGTGTGTATTGAACTGCAGTCTCATTCTGGATATGGGCAACTATTTTGGAATTTAGTTGCTTTTGGGATGACCTGTTACCTATATTGGGCAAAGCCTCAGTCTCTGAAATTCAGCTGAGCTCAGTAATTTGATTCCAGCCACCCACCACCACATAGAGATTTGTGTCGGAGGAGGAGGAGGAGGGAAGGAAGGAAGGAACAATTCCTTTGAGGAAAAAGGATAAAACTATCAACATCTTTGTCCTATAGCTTTTTGTATATTTAAAAAAATACTTTAATATATATGTAGATATAGTTATATCGCAAATGGCACCATGTCTTGTGTTTCAGGAGAAACCTGGAGGCTGAACTTAAGTATTATTCCTACACTTATATAATTAAACAGCACTTGATGTTAGTGTTTCTGTCCCCCACACCCCAAAACAAAACAAAAGTCCTGGTGGGCCCAGGCGCTCCTTGATAAATTCAGGATGATTATTTCACTGCTGATTCACATGGCCACATTTGAGATGCGATTCAAGTGACAGTGTGAAAGTGCAATCATATGGTGTGAACTCATGATACACGGAGCCTAAACACATTAGAAAACTGGCTATTTCATAAGCTCACTTTGCGACATGAAGACTGAGACTTTGCAATGAGTTTCCCCACACTTGGGACAAGCTTTTTCCTCCTGCATTGATCAGATCAAATTGCACTCAGATCAACAGACTTCCTTCCATGCCATTGCATAATGATTTCAAGGGCTCCAGCTCCAGTTACTCTCCCTACCACTTTTATCCCACCTACAACTTTTTCTTTATTCCTTCAGGGCAGAGCCACATGTTGTAGGGCAAATGCCTGCTTCCCAAAAGATGGGCCAGGACATTTGGATGGGAAAGCTGGAGATGTGCTTAAAGTCTGCTGATTCCACCCTACAAACAGTTTCCTTTCCCCTTTTCATTGTTTTTCTGCCAGACATGCTGCTAGATCAGAGAAAATACTTTGGTAGGGCATTTGCAGAAAACTGGCAGGTGCAACAAAGATTATGCATAAGTACTCCTTCCCTACTCATGGATACAGCCCTAGCAGATGCCTTTTGCTTTTAGATAAGCTGTCAGGGAAATGCCTAGGATATGCATTTGCTGGTATACTGTATGTCAGGTTAGGCAGCCTTCGGGACTGTGAAACCTATCTTGTTCTTTCTAGAACTCAGAGACGAACCAAACAGAGAATGGTGCAAAAGGGAAATTATTTGAATCAAAGAATTCAGAACCTAGGAATGTGTTTGGACTGATGATAAACCTTCTATACAAAATCCATTCCCAGTCACTCCAAGCATTCTTCATTTCAGGATTCTAATTTAGGGCAAGAAGGAGCCATTTTGTTTCTGCTGTGGTTAAACACCAGGAAACAGAAATCAGTGTCAACCTATTAAATATTACCCAAAGATCTATGGGTAGATCCTCACCTACTTTCTGCCCAACCTGCTGCAGATGCCCATTATCTTCTACTTTCCTTTATCTAAAATAAGAGATGGGGGAAAAGACATCTTCCCAAATAATTTCGCCATCATTCGCCCACCAGAACCTGCCATTTCTTTGCTGCTTTCCTCTAGGCAAGTAGACTTGAAGCTCTAGGAGCTGCTTCTTAGCCATCAGCTCATCAAAACATGTAGATCTACATGTTTGGCTTCCTTAATTCAGTTTTCAACATGCACAATTGTCCTTTCTTGGTCTTAAATGATATCTGATTATGAGTCTTATAGCTTCTTCATGACCTTCCTTCTGCCCAGTCCCTAAATTATTATCCTGTTGCTGTTTTCAAACTCAGTTGCATGACCTGGTTTAAAGGCAGTTGAACAACTTGATTCTTCGCTGTTCATCTTGCAGCAGCATCCAGAGCATAACCGCACTCTGAGGGCATCACCAAGAGTGTGTATCTATGTGGAAGTGATGGATCAGCACTGGCAAGTAGCTCATGCCCACTGCAATATGCACCTCCTTCTAACGTTACGCATACTACTGCCCATAACGTAACTGTACACTGGTTAAATTTGAAATGACCGATGCAGCCATTGCTCCCACACTGCGTCAGTCAGAATGGCTGGGTGGATCTTCCAACTGTTAGAACAGCAAAGATTGTGCACACATTTCATTTACCCTTTGGTTGCTGCATTAGGCAGAAAGGGCAGGATTTATCTCTAGGCAACTAGCTGAGAACTTACCTCCAAGCTGTAGCCAGAGATCATTTTATTAGGGATAAGTAAGAAACTACCAGAGAGTATCGTGGTCTACCACTAGCATGAAACAGAATGTCGCATATAAAACTATTTGACCTTGGATCTGATTGTGCCCTGTGTCTGATGCACACATGAAGCTTCCTATGAGCAAAGGCTTCTTCGTTAACCATGTCAAAGAACGTTCCACATCATGCCCTAGTATTGAAATGAATGTGGTGGAACCTCCATGCCTGCCGTAGAACCTTCACCATTTGCAACAGGGTCAGGGCTCAGTCTCTTCCTTTTTCTTTTTTTCTCTATTTAGTTTGGAACTGACAAAACAAAACTTAAGTCTTCAATCCTAAGCTTGCTAGGAAGTAAGTCCTGTTAAAACTCAGTGGGATTTACTCCTGGGTAAACATAGGATCACACTGCAGATCTTTACAACCATTTCAAAAGCAACACTTCTGTGCTGGCTGCCCTCTCCATGTCTGGGCTGAGTTTGGGAGAGCTGAGCACAATGTCTAACTGATCTGCCACACATTAAGCTAAAGATGCCACGAAAGAAGGCATAGTTGGCCATACAGAGGCAACACCACCATGAATCTTGTTTTGGCAAAAAGAGAAAAGAAACATAAACAGAGACACAAAGGAATCCAAGAAACTGCTTTAGAATTGCCCAGCGCTGCTGGGATCGCACTGAAGGAGACGGACGATAGATGGATCACTCTTGGCTCCCCGAATAAACTCTTCCAGAGAAAGTTTTCCTAGAAAATAAATAGAGATGCTGGTTTGGAACTCTGAAATGCATAAAAGCATATGTTGTAAGCATTGCATTTTATGAGTTGCTTACTTCGCCTTATTCCTGAATGTATGCTGCCATATATAAACATTCTACAATACCTGTTTGCCTTGGGCTGAACCCAAGCTCTGCGTCCTGTTGTGGGAAGAGTTCTCATGGAAGGTGCCTCAACACAATTTGAGGAGATTCTCTTCCCCTTTCTTATATCTTACTCCAATTAGCAGGGCCCCCTGAACTTCCAGAGAAGGCTATCATGGAAAGGAAGGAATGGGGAACTCCATTTCTGCTGGCCCAGCTGCAAACTACTAAATGGAGAGCCAACTTCACGCGTGCAAAAACTTCTTCTCAACCAAAGGTGCAGTTTTATCTGCAATGCCCCTCTCAGAATAACATTCCCAATCAGGCAACTATCAAGTTATTTGGAAAGTTTACATTTCTCTTACTGATTAAAACAAGGTTTACCATCATGAACTTAGCAATCTTCATGCTACTAGACTGACTATACTGCCCAACATGTTAATCATTTAATATTCAGTTAAATAAATATTACTTTTGCTTAGCTGTCACAAAAATGCATGAGTAATGCTAACAAAGTCAGTTCAAAAAGAAAGCCCCTCTTCAGAATAGCTGAGGGCAAGGCTGCCACACAGCACCAATGGATAACCACCCCCTGCTCCATCCCACCCACACCGTTCCACTTTGAATTCATGGTTAAAGTACAAGGAGAAGCAACAACATTGTCTTCTACCAATTTCTCTTGGTCCTTTTAGCAGTAACTTTTGCCCTCACTGATGTCACTCTCATTGTACCAGGGAAGTAAAAGAGCAGAGGGAAGGACTGGTGATCTGGAAGAGGCCAAGAGAAGCTCATAAGTCTATGGTGGATATAGGGTTCCACAGACTCCCTACGGAACATGGAAAACTGCTTTGTACCAGGTCAGTTTGTCTGTCTTTTCCAGCATTAACTACTTGGACTTGCAATGGCTCCTTCACATCAATTTCTACCTGATCTTTTCTGAACTGGAGATGTGGGGATTGGACAGGACACCTTCTGCAGGCAAAGCAGGAGCTCTGCCATGAGATGTGGTTTCTCCCATACCTCCAGGTTGTGACCCAACAACCTAGCAGGGGCTCACCAACAAGGATCTCTCTCCTTGCTAATCAGATCTGCACTACTATCACCCCAGGGATGCTGATCAGCTATGGGGAACACTATGTCCTCTCTTCGTCAGTGACGACTGTTTTCCTCCACTGTGCTCTTATTCTTTAGCGCTTTATTGGGTGGGGAATCACCTGGGTAGTAATCATTGTTAGATAGATACAATGGAACCTTTCAAGCACAGGTACACCTCCCATACTGGATCCTAGGGTAGCTCAGGAGAACAGCTACAGATTTCACACTTACTTTGAAGCTGATCTGCTGTATGGGGAAATATCTGGACCTCTAGAGCCAGTTAAAACATTATAAAAACTCCTGACTGTGGATAGGGCCATGATCAATTTTCAAATGTTAATACTTGCTTGAATTAGTGCCATGTAAATACCTGCCAGTTATTATCCACCTGGAAGGGAAGCCTTAAGGAGGTAGAAATCATATAGAACTCTTTCCTTGACCTGGATGTCCTTGAAGAACTAGGTCTCAGTGAGAGCACAAAACACATTATCACCAGAACACCTGTTCTGCAGCTGGAGCTCTGATTTAAGAAGTGGGCTTCTTGCTGGCTAACATTCAACACATACTGCTTGTCCCATGATAATATAAACATTCAACCTTTCACAGATGCTCAAGGGTCAGTTGCTAAATACACATCAATGACATCCTTCTGTTTATTCAATCAGTCTAGTTCTGTGACAAGAGCTAGAGAGACTAGAACAAACAAAAGTGTGTTGAAAAGAAACATCCAAAGATATTTACCATCCCTATTAGTGTCCATCTGGCGGAAGATTTTCTCTGTCCTTTTCTCTGGTGTTGATTCATCTTCTGGCATCTTCATAACGGAAGAAACCATCTTGTAGATTGCCTAAAAAATGGGACACAAAAAAGAGTCATGATTCTAGCATGCTTTGTGGTCACTCATAGGCTGTTGGAACCAGCCTTTTAGGGGCTAAACATCCTCTAACCTTGTACCATCCAGAAATGATGGATTACAATCTCATCATCCCCAGCCAGAATCACCTACCTTGATCAAATGAAGCTCTAAACCAGGGATGGGCAACTTGTGGTCCTTCATATATTGTTTGACTGCAAATCCCATCAGCCCTAGCAAGCACAGCCAATGATGAGGAATGTGAGACCAAAATACAAGCAGCCCACCCTGTTTGAACCAGTTTTCAAGGACAACTCCATACAAAGGACACTGGAATGATCTCACTAGGTTACAGGTCACATACCAAACCTTTACTGCATGGAAAGCGATCTCACAACATATCAGAGGTAGACTACACTAAATCATATACATGCAGACATTCTTTCTGCAATATTCTGGTCAATGGGACTGAAAGAGAAACCTAACCTGCCGTCATATTAACACAATAATTCTTCTGGTTTGCTGTCTGAAAATTAATGTCAAAAGGAAAGCCAGTTACTCTGTCTTGCACTCATCAGATGCATGGAGAACATCACATATTATGCCTAATGAATTCTCTCACACACACACACACAAACTTTACTGTGTATACAGATGGTAGCGCACATCCTCTGAGAAACTGCAACCAATTTCTCAGAGTGTATCACAGCAAAGGAAAACACGTGTAAAATTGTCACACGTGAGGTTTCAAATGATGCTCTGCAAGTTTTTGAGTATTAAGAAATGCACAATGAGCAAAGCGTCTCAATTAGTATGCTGGAATCTTGAGAGCGCCTGCAAAGTCTGCAGCATATATTTAATTATTTCTTCTTATTTGCTTGAAAGAATAACAACACATAAATCTAATTCAGAATAAAGAGATTTCATCTAGGGAAATGTGGGCTTTGTGTTACTTTTATCAAACTTCATTTCCCTCAAAATTCCTTGCTTACTTCATCTGATCAGATGAAATATGAGGGGCAATTTAGAGATGCAAAGATCCATTGCAAAATATATTTGCTCATCTTATTGAAATTCTCTGAGGTTTTGCTAAAGTAGGATCTTCCAAATCAGTGGCTCCATGGCTTGTTGAAAAATGTCACTTGGTTACTCCAAATGTCGCAGAAACCTTGACTGTCATTGCTGCCTCTTCCAGTCTTCCCCATTAAATTGTCCTGTTTAGAAAATGCATTGCAAAGCAAAGCATACAAAAAGAAATTCCTAACAGGGAGCTGTGATGCAATTTGCTGTACAAAATAAAGTAACACCCTATGCATGTTTACTGAAAAGTTCTGTTAAGTTCAGTGAGTTATTTCCAATTGGATTGCAAGCTTTGTGCTCTCCACTGCCCAGCACACAGAAAATCCAGCTTCCCTAGCCTTGTAGAACCTGTGCTTCTATTTTCAGATTCAGTACACCTTTGAGTTCTTTTAACCTTTGAACAGAACAAGCCTTTATTTTATTCTTAATTTATTCCTACCACCTCTTTTCTTCCTACAAGGAATCCAAGAGGGCCTACAAGGTCTTCCACCTCTTCATTTTACCATCATACAACCCTGTGAGGTAGGTTAGGCTGAATGTCTGTGACTGACCCAAAGTCACCCAGGCTGAGAGGGGACTAGAACCAGATCTCCTGAGTTCCAATCCAACATTCTCCCTACTGTGTCACACTGGCTCTTGTCTATACAGAAAGGCTTGATGGAATATTAATGTTTGGTTAATGTAAGTAAATCCAACCCACCTGCCAAATTAGCAGTATATAGCACCAGATTTTTCTCAGCCATCAAAAGTTATAGAAAATAGCGTGGGACAAGCAAATGAAATATCAACATTAATTACCAATAGGGGGTGCAAGAAGTATCAATGCATCCTGCTACGAAAATGATTGTATGTTTGTTCATTTGTTCATATTCATTACTTTAAAAGATCTATTATATCCTCTCTTTAAATCAACATTTCCAAGGCAGCTTGCAAAAGATGGTAATTGCAACTAAAACCATAAAGAGAGCTTTGGCTCTTGAGTGGAACAGACTTGTAAGAAATAAATATAACTATTTTAGAGGTAAAATGCACACTTTTAAAGAATATTATCATTATTTATGCCATTTTGATAAGCACCTAGCCATGCACTGAATATGGGGGAAGGGGAGCAGGAGCAGAAACCCAAGATTGCTTCAATACTGTGTAAGTGGAAATGCCGACATAGCTCTATTGTCATCTTTAAGGCAACCATCAAAATTCGCCGGGGTCTCATGCTCACCTGGACCTAGGAAAACGAGAGATGCCTATGCAAAATCACCTTTGCATCAGGAAGAAAAAAATGAGCCCATTGCCTTCTTCCTTTCCTCATGGTCTGACACTTACACATCTATTTTCCAATATCCAATTTTCCAATATCTTATGAGCAATCTCCCAAGAAAACCTTTTTTAGTTTTAATTACTGAGACCTCAAAGGAGGAATAAAAAGAGTTACCCAAATCTGTAGGTTTTAGAACAAGTGCAGGTTCGCATGATCACAGAGGGGGAAATAAGCCAGGGGGAAATACTCTCCCTTTCCCCCACCATGCTCATTCCAGGATGTTGGAGAGGCCATCAACTCAGAACATGAACCACCTCAGCTGATTTCCTCCTCTGTGAAGTGTGAGCCAGGAAAGAGGGAAAGGGGATTCCTTCCATCCCAGAAGGGCTCACACTTTCTGCTTCGAACAGCACTTGCCTCCATATTTTTTCTCCTCACAGTCTCCCCTTCTTTTCCAGAGGGAGCACAGCAGAGTTTCCCATCAATTCACAAGGCAGCAGATACAGAGAAGTACATCTCTGCATTATTCCCCCTTTTTTCATCCAAGTGACCAATACCCTTCATTATTTTTTCTCCTACCTTTTCCTAATATTTTATCCCATTCCAAAACCCTTGGCTTTGGAGCTCCATGCTACTCTTCAATAATTTATATTCACTTCTCAGATCCTGCATTTGCTCTAATTCTCTCCTTCAAAACGCACTATCACCCTAAGCAGTCTGTTTCTTCCCTATTCAAATTATCCCAGGTTGAAATGTCTTTATTTCCCACCCCTTTCCCTTCTCCATGATCAGCTACAATGTTCACACCTTGCAGTGTTTGAGGGGCCACACTTTTATCACCTCCCTTTTACGAAATCATGCACACACCACTAGAAAATGGAACTTACTCTCTTTCAAACATGTGCACCACTCACCGCACACAGACTTTCAATGCCTGTTATCTTTAACTTTCTCCATGTTAATGCATGACTCCAATTCTCCTGATGGTATGTATACTTTTAAATCCCCCAATGGGTGATTTTAATTCATTTAAAACTTTTATTTAATAAAACAACTGTTTGATTCAAAGACTTCAGCGCTGTCTCATTTTGGGGCAGGGGTTATCAGAGTTTAATGCCAAAAGAGTCTTAATGTATATGTTTGGCAATGTTCATTCCCATGTAAATTAAAGCATGATTCTCAAAGCAGAGAGAAGCTTGTCCTTGGAGGGGGATTCACTCCTCTAACTTCTGTGGAAAAGCAACATCCATTTTTTTCCAATGAGCAAATTCTACATCAGATGGGGTGGGGGGGGGGAAGTTGGCTAAGGGTGATCCAGAGGCCTTCCTGGGAGAAAATGCAGATCTGCAAGATGCACAGCTCTGTTGGCCTGCAGGCATGTCCTCCAGTCAGCCCTGGAGATGACACAGATCAGTTACTTCTCATTATTTTCAATGGGAGGGCAGGGGCACTGGCAGGGTGGGGGAATGGCTCTGGGAAAGGGGAAAGAAGCTGACCTCCTCCCAGCTTTGGAGGTCTTAGAGGCTGTGACTTCAAAGCTCTCCAAGGTTGGATCTCCCCTAGTGCAGTCTTATATATTTCTGCTCAGAAGTAAGTCCCATGGAGTTCAACGAGGCTTACTCCCACATAAACGGATATAAGATTTCAGCCTTACACTGCAATACGGTGCTGCACTTGTTTACTCAGCAGCAAGTCCCATTATGCCAACAGAGAATTACTCCCAAGTGTGTATCAGACTGTGGATTTAGGGACTGCAGTGGGAAGTCAGTGAGTTTTTTCACATTGCAATTTGGGTCTGCCTGACATTGTTAAAACTCTCCAACTCTGACAGAATACCAGGAAACCTAGGGCTGCTTCATATTTCTAAGTACATTAACCTGGAAGAAAAATGCCACATCTGTTGGGTGACAGAGTTTAGTATTCTGTCTCAATAGAAGCATCAAAAAGCTACAACACCAACTGGCTGTTCAACAACAACAACCAAAATAATCCACTCTCACTACTTTACATCTGTTACAAAAGTGCATCTGTTTTGAATGCAGACATGAGAATCCATGTTGGAAAATGTGATGTCACAGAACATTATTATCTATTACATTTGTATCCTACCAAAGAACTCAGGACAATGTACAATGTACATGGTTCTTTCCCACATCACATTATGTGGCAAGTTAGCCTGACAAATGGGCAACTGTCCCAAGGCCACGTACTGAACCTCAGGGCTAAATGGGGATTTGTACCTTGTTCTCCCATGTCCTTCTTCCAGATTCTAACCAATGCACACACCAGCTCTTCCAAGAAGGCCCTCTCTCACACCTTGGATGATGGCAGCACTGAGAGAAGAGCCTCCTTCAATGGTCCTGAAACCCAGGAAGTGCATATAGGAGAAGGAATAAGAGGTAGCCCATCCCCAGCTGCAAAGTCAAATTTAAGCCGTAAAGACAGGAATCCCTCCAGCAGAGCATCAGAATTTATTTGATGCATTATACCAGAAAAGGGAAGCAGAGGAAAGCTGGGAGTGAGCAATTTTTTTCCTGCCTAAACATACACAAGATTGTGCCAGAGGGTTTCTGTTCTAACCAGCAGCTAGACAGTAGTCAGATTTGCATGTACTACATTTTTATGTTAAACAGAATAAAAAGCCTGGAATAGTGGAGGACTTACTCCTAGTTCCTTGCCTGTAAAACCATTAAAGCATTAAAAAAGGACACAAAAGAACAATATACATCTTGTAAGTGGTACATACCTGGACTATTTCCAACATCTCTGCCTTGCTGATGTATCCATTTCCATCCAGGTCATACATGCTGAATGCCCACTTCAACTTTTGCTCCAGTTTCCCTCTGGATGTGACACTCAGGGCGATGATAAATTCTCTGAAGTCTATTGTTCCATCCCCATTTGCATCAAATGTACGGAACACATGTTCGGCAAATTTAGAAGCGTCCCCGTAAGGAAAAAAATTCCCATATATTTTCTTAAACTCCTCCATGGACAAATGACCACTTGGACAGTCTCTCAGGAAGCCTTTATACCATTCCTGGATCTCATGTTCTGTAAAGTCTGTGCTTTCTAGCAAATCTTGCATGACTTCAGGGCGTAACTTGCTGTTCTGTTTTCCCATGTTGGTGTCAGGATCTTATCTAAAGAAGGGAGGAGAAAAGCAAGTTAATTTCTTGTTTACAAAACTAGAGGCTGAGGATGAATATTGTGGGCCTTAGAAGAGGCTTACAAAATGATTGTTTCGTTGTTGATAATTAACATTTTCATTGAATTAGCTCAGTGAGGTCCAGGAGTATACCCCAAACTAAGATTCCAGAGAGGATTGCACATGCAAATAAGGAGGTGCTGATATTTATTTCCCCATGCATCACTTTGAATACCACTCTGTGTGTGTGTGTGTGTGTGTGTGTGTGTGTGTGTGTGTCTCAGGCGGGGGGGGGCATCCTACACCTTGAGCAGATGGGGCTGGTCACGAAAGCCAGCGGTGGGAGGGACTCAGGGATGTCCTGGTAAATGCGTGGAACACCCTATATAGCCCCCTTAGAGGTTAGCCTTCATTCTCTGCAAGGAGACTACACTTAAGTTAGGACGGGTGCTGAAATACAGTATATTGCACATTTCTTTGTAATACAGTGACAAGGAAGACTTCAGTAAAATGCTAAATTTAATAAAAACTTACCAATGAATGAAGGACCCCCCCATTCTTACTGCTTGTTTTTGTTTGATATGCAAAATTCTTGTTCTTCAATCTCTCCTACCTAACCCTATTGTCCTGGCATACATGGGTCGTTGGTCTGATACCACCCAGCTATTCTGTTCATCTCTTCCCAGAGTGCATTTTCTGTGAATTTGGCTACCATACTGTTCCACCTTGACTCCAGAGCATTGACAAGTAGGCTGGGGGCAAAGACATATGTCTTACACACGTTTCTGTGGCCCAGCAGCAAATGAAAAGCTGGTCTGGTTGATTCACTGCTGCCGCTTTCTCCTTTGGGGGATGATGCCCTGCATAGGTGGAGAGTGGAGGCAATGGAGCTGCAGGGTCCTTTCTTATTCAACAACAGCTACAAGAGGAAAAGGCATCGCAACTAGCAGCAAATGAGCAGGCTGTATCTGAACAAGGTAGCTCCCTTGCTCACCTGCTGAGTAACCACTGCTGCTCGTGGGAAAGAATGCACCCTATGTGACTCTAGCTCAGTCTTCTCCACCCTGCTGTCTTTCAGATATTTTGGACTTCCCAGCAGCCCCAGACCTTGGTCAATTGTCAGGAATGCTGGAGCCTATAGTCCAAAGGTCTAGACAGCACCATGTTTGGGAAAGTTAGTATAGACAATCATGCAAAGTTACTGAAAGTATGGAAGGCCCCATGGATGTCCAGTTATGTGGACATGGAGATATGTACCATGCTTAGTGGTGGCACATGCTGATTTTGGGGTGAGGCCAGCCAGCAGAGTCCTTTTCTCCCTGCAACACATATATTCAAGCTATATTGTCAAAGATGTGAAATGCATTCCTATGAACCATGTCCCTTGTCTTTTAAATCCCTACAGCCTATGACTACTGGATTTACAGATCCAGCCTCCAGCCTTAAGAGTTGGTTGAATAAATGTTTTGCATGAAAATGTCCCATCTTTGATTTCCAGCTTCTCCAGGTAGGGCTGGAAAAGACCCCCACTGGAAACTCAAGAAAGACTTTGCTGGGAGTACAGAATAGCATTTCCCAACACAGGAGCCCCTGGATATTTTGGCTTATGGTTCCCATCAGTCCCAGCCAACCTGGCAAATGCTCAAGGAGGGTGGGGGTTCTAAGCCAAAACAGCTAAAGAGAAGTAGGTTGGAGGATCCTTTGGAGTCAATAATAAGATAGACATAAGAATAATTGGACACTTCACAGTGCAGCTTCCTATGATCTTTTGACAGCCAATCTAAAGAATAGAAATTATGGGAATTATATGAAGTACCAGGTGCTATTGTAATGCTGATCTGTGCTAAAGGCTGTTTTTTCTGCCATTAGTCAACATTATTTTGATCCCAATTGTGGGGCTTATTTGTTGGATTCCAATGGGTATTAACAATACACTCTCATGAAGTTACTTTTCTCCTCTGCACATAGTTTTTAATAGTAAAAAATAAAATTAGAGGATGTTGTTAGAAGTTTAAGGCTTAAATATGGAATGTAATTTTCCTACTCATTTATATCCGTTAATGGCCAGGTGTATAAGCCAATTAGCAGTTAAAATTGGTCATCTTTAAAAAAAAAAAAAGAGTGGAAGCATAAATGTATAGCGTATGTGCAAACTGCATTTTCTCCCTTAAATTAGCCATGCAAAATGCACCAAAATGTAGTTCTTACATTCAGTTCTTCAGTTAAATTAATCACTGTTACTTTCAGCAAAAGAAAATGGCTATACCAATGCTATACTACGGGTTTAGAAAAGATTAGTGCCCTTTAGCTATTAAACAGCATTTTGGAGGCCAAGCTCACTGCTCTAAAGGGCAGCATAAATTAGTTTTCCTAAGAGTCTTAAAGACAGCACCTGCAATAGAAAAGGCCCCTCAATTTCATGGTTCAAAATTGGCCCATACCATACTGCTCAGATGGCCATCTCCTAGGTCATGACTGGATTATGGGAAGTTTCTTAGGAAGCCAGATTGAAAGCAGATGATCTAAATTCCAAAAACATGTATGCTGCACTGTGTGCTTTAAGAGCAGGTGTAATTTAATTTGGCGAGCTTTATCAAGTCATACAAATGACAGTGAATGCAACAACAGTGGACTCTGTACCCATCCACCTGTTGAATTTGTGACACAGTATCCTGCCTGCCTGCCTGCCTGCCTGCCTCTCTATCCTACATTCATTCATTATATTTAAATGTCACCTCTTCTCCAAGGAGCTTAAAGCAGCAGATACTGTCCTCCTCCACCCCGTTTTATCCTCAGAACAACCCTATGGGGTGTCATAGGCTGAGAGGTATGACTGGACACTCTGAAAGCTTTGTACCTGAGAAAAGATTTAAACCCAGGACTCCACAGTCTTAGTCTGACATTCTAACTGCTATACTTCCCTGGCTCATATTGGCATCAAGTACTCCTAAGGTCTTGCTTGATAAGGTTTTCAATAAGTGGATTGTGCTGTGTATTTAAATTTTGTCTTTTTTCTCCTTTTGTCTAACTTGTCTAACCTTATCAGCACTTTCTCTCACTTGCTTTCTCAAACATGACTATTATTCTTATTTACAATTGGATTATTAATTCTCAAAGCAGATCTGGCTGTTCAGTGCACCTGTTCAAACAGCTCCCACAAAGGTCTTAACCTTCAGAAAAAAAAGCAGTAAAGAAACAGAATGAGAAAAACAAGTGTCTTTCAACAACAGTGAAAGTTTAGATAACTAATTACAAAAGTTAAGCTAAACAGTGGACCACCAGAGAGATGTGAGCATACAGAAACCTTCAATTTTGCCTACCTGATGTAGGTAAGAGGGCTTAATCATGAAGAGAGTTCAAATTATGAGAATCCCAGTTCATGGATAGGGTTGCCACATGCCCCAACTCTGACAGCTCAGCCAGTCTGACCTATCCTATCCAGGAGCTCACAAACATAAATTTAACACAAGCCTCTCATTCTAGACCACATAACTCCTTTGAACAACAGCATTCAAAAGCTCTGGCTCGTCTCCTCTTAGTTGGTACAGCAGCGTATTAAGAGATGCTTTCTTCAAACAAAGTTCTCTGACCAGACTCCAAAGCCAAATAGTATTTAGTTACTATGTGACCAAAGCCATACCAGTATCAAGAAACTGACAAAACTGGTATTATGTCATTATTCCTGAGACAGAGTGGGCAACCTAAGTATCGACTGAACCAGATTGCAAATCTTTTGCTCTTATGTGAGACCTGCCCCATTAAATTCCTTGAGAGGGTTTGTGGAGAAGTCTGGGTAGTTACTCACTGTTGGCCTTCCCTTGTCCAACCTCTTGCAGAAGCAAACGATGCAATAAACTATAGAATAATGCTTCCTTTGTAGCATTCACTCTTGAACTCTTAAACATTGCTTTTAGCTGCTTAACACGACTGCCTTCTTTGCTTGAAGCATTTAGCCCATTGATATATTTTCCTTTCCTAATGGTTCTTCCTTCTTCTCCCAGTAGCTGAGAGTCCTGAGGTTGCCAGGTGTGATAGTTAATGCAAGCTCACTACCACAATGCATACTTAATACTCTGCATCTTATCATGTACATCACACAAATGCGCCCCTACAAGCCCTTGGTTTTGAAAGCAGAGAGCTGTGTGTGACCAATTAACTTGGTGAACCAATACAAAAGATGTGTGTAAATAATTCACTACAGGTCACCAATCCAAGCTCTCCAGTTTCTCTGATTTTCATCTATTCACTGTTCATAAACTCAGGATAATATTACCTTTTCCAACTGCTCTCTTTTCTTTCGGGAGCCGCTGAACAAAACCAGAGCTACCACTGTGCAAATGAAATCTAGAAAGACACAGTGCCTCCATCCAGTAAAAGCACTGGCATTTCCACTTGAGTCCAACATGCCTGTCTCATTTTTCAGGCCAGCATTTTCACAACAGAATTTAGTTGGATTATGAAAAAGTACTTTAATGAAAGCAAAATTCCATGTATTGTATTGGGAGCCTTCAATTTAAATGTTCTGTTTTAATGCTGCCTTTATTACCCTGGAAATGCTTATTCATTCCTGGCAACAGACATTTGCCCGCTACACTTGGCAAACCAGAGGAATTTGTTTTGAATGAGAAATAAGCAAACTGAAAACAACATGATCTTTGCAAATACCGGAAGAAATAGAACCAATGTGTTTCCCCCACCCCCATCACCATGGAGATCAATAAGAAATATAAATCCCCAAATTTATAAACATTTCTTCCTGAGCATCTGCCTATAGTGGAGGCATTAAGAGACTTTCAATCTGATGTAAACTGACTGCGCTAGCTGAGCTCTCAGTGAGTAAACAGAAAGCCCTCAGGGAGACATGTGGCTAATGGGGCGGGTTAGAAACCTAATAAATAAATAATAAATAGAAATAATACACACAGCCAGTGAGGAAGCAGCAAGACAGCCCACTGTTCACATAACTATCTCTGTCACTATGTGGGAGCTGATAGT